TAATAATAGGCACAGTCAATCAAAATCATCAAAACACTGACTGGTGTTATGTAACAGATACAAATCTAACTAAAAACCTAAGTATCTGTTAAATACTGATGTAACATATACACTGTTCCTAATGCTGCCTGTTTTGCAGCTCTGATTATGTTACTACTGAGATCTGCTACTCTTTATAGAAATTTCTCGATATTAGTATTACTGTTGTTGTTATTGAGTAGTTGTGCAGTCCAGAACTTTTCTCCTAGAGTTCTAACGTTCTTTATAGTGTGCAAACTGGCTCAGAGTCACAGCAGAAACTTGGTGCACAGCCACTATGTTGACTTCTGGGGCTTGTTGAGTTTCTGCAACTTTTCGCATACATGCACACACACACCCTCCTTCCCTCCTACAAGAGAAAAACAAAGTGGATCATTACTGGTTCATATTCATCCACATGTTTTTCAAGCTGGTTGAAAAGTGACGTCAGGCTTCCTTGTGGTGCTGTGAGCTCGAGAACAGAACAGCTGTGTTTCTCCTCTGTTGAGGCAGGGACGGCAGTTCTACAGCTTGGTATTGGTGGCAAGTCCATTAGTTGAGGAGACGGAGAGATACTAAAGGGAAGGAAAAAGAATAAAAAAATTAGGCTGGCTTCAAGGTTGCAAGGAAAAAGTTGGATTTTTATTGATGGCAGCTGCAGCAGGGTGAAATGTACTAAATTTGCTCATGATAGCGTGTTACTTTGCCTCTTGATTCCAAAGCAGGATTCCCAGGGTAGAATGAGAGCTGATGGAGGGAGCAACATTTTGGCATCTGCTGGGAATCTTGTCGATTGCTGGTGTTTGTCTTCATGTGTGCAACACTTGCCTTTCCCCCCTGCAAATATGTTTTTCTGGCATAAAACAAGGTGGTGGGGGAGAAAAGAAGGGAGAGAGAGAGAGAGAGAGAGAGAGAGAGCGAAAGAAAGAAAGAAAGAAAGAAAGAAAGAAAGAAAGAAAGAAAGAAAGAAAGAAAGGAGAATTATCACTTCCAGAAGCTCCAAGGGAAGTCGGTTCTCTTTCCAAGACCAATTATATGAAACTGAAAGTAGATTTCCAATCACATTTGGTTTCACAGGAAGGTTCGATCAGTGCACCCAGAGGTGGGTCTACAGACCTCCGGCCCCCATCTCAACTCAGACTGCCTACCTTGGCTTAATTCAGGTACACATATTCAGGAGAGAGGCCTTTTTTCCCCATCCACTGAAAGGAGTGTGTGGCTGGAGTTCCCCATGGTCCACCGGGCCTGGGACAATAATCTTAGGATGGCTCGCTTCCAGTGTTAGAGAATCGGCTGAGGTGGATGTGACAAAAAGATACTTAAAGCAATAGGGGGAAATGTTCCCCCACCCACCCATCCTAGTCCTGCAATGCCCCCAGCAATGGACACATTATCTACAACTTTTGGTGGTCCTTCTTAATAAATGGAGAGCCAGACACATCCACTTCAAATATGGCTGCCCCACGTAACAGCTTAAAGTCACACAACACCTCATAAGAACATCTAACAAGGCAATGAAAGGAAAAACAAGTCATAAAATAGGGCAACCAAACATGCCTGTCTTCTGTTTCTGTTTTCTTAGATGATTCATGAGAAGGGCGATATATTGTACGAAGATCTTCCTCTTGGTCGCAGGGTGTTTCATAAGGACTACATGCTTGAGCTGCCGATCTGTTGAGGCTTTGGTACAAGGCAGGACTCCACCCCATACTTGCTATCTGGGCTTCATTTGAAGCAAGCTCCTCCCCTCCACTCCCACTGCTGTCACTGTAGCTATCTCTGCGAGACGGGGATTTGATCAGTTTCTTGCTCACGTCGGTCCCTTCGTTTTCATCAGAGCTGTCATCGTCTGGCTCTCCATTGGTCGGCTGAGGGTGTCCTTTGCTGAAGTCAGGGAAAACTTGTGGTGGGGAGTGGATAGGGGTCTGTAAAAAAGAAATATATATTTTGCAAAATGGCAGAAACGTTACCAATAATGCGTTTACATTTATTGAAAGGTGTCACTGTCAGGATCAGTTCCTCGGGTTCTTATGGAAGGAAAGAAAGTCACAGGAAATACAAAAGACCTGCTAAGCTTTTGTTTTTAAAAAAGCATGTATTGAGGAGATGGTCATTTTTTAAAAGAGGCTCTTCAGCAAACCAAAGCAAAAAAGCAAAGCAAAGCAACACAAAGCAAAAAAACCAAAACCAAATCAAAACAAAAACATTGGGCTAATAAGTCCCTTACTTTGATCTCTGCCCGGAAAATGAGGCCTACTTGACCTGGAAAAGGGAGGGGGGGAGAGACAATGCAAACAAAGCCTTATTTTCAGCATCCTACCATTTTATAGGATATGTATTCCCTATCCCTGTCTGTGATGATTCATAACTCTGCTTTACATGTAATTTCCTTTTCTTTCCCTTTTTGGCATATACTGTATACAGTGTTTCTACAAACCGACTATAGAGTGTGAACTGATAGTGCTGGAGTCATTTTTCCTATAGTGGCAGGATACGAGAGGTGGAGGGCCAATTGGTGCGTGAAATTCCACAAATTTTTTTGCATGTAACCTGCTAGATGCACATTGCAAGCAGTGGGGAGAATCCCGCTTTCCTCTAAAGCTGATGTTTGCTTTGGGGATAAGTAGGAATTCCTTCATTGCTATCAAGTGGGGAGGGTTCCTCCGAGGTGAACACTGGCTTCAGAGATGCACTTTTCCTGCCATCTAATCTGCCTATGAGGCGGTTGCTGCTGGCACCCCTGGCAGGCTGCCAGCCCCCCACCCCAGACATCCAGGCAAGACTTTCGGAACTAGCTACCGCCAGATTTGGGATGTCCATGAGACTGGGGTACTTGACTTTGGAGGGGGAGGAGGAGGCAACCACTGAGGGAAGTCACCTGGAGGAGGGTGGGGAGCAGGGAAGGTCCCTGCAGCTGGTGGCTATAAGAGATGCCCAAGAAGAAGCAGGGCTGGAGGAGGGCTGGATTCGGGTACGCAAGTCATTGGCATGGAGGAGGAAACAGCTTGGGGAGATGGAGGTTGTGGTCAAGGAGACTAACAGTGTCAAGGAAGTTCCAGAGTTCGAGGGAGAACGGGATGACATCTACCACAAGGATTCCCGGACAGGGTTCCTCGTTGAACTCTGTGTACCCCAAGGGCAGGACAGTGTACCAGAAGGCCCCAGCCTGAGCAGCCATACCAGGCCTTGATGCCGAGAGCCTTGTCATCAGTCTGCACTGGGCCAAGCCGGACCCACACCTGCGTAGAGATGACACTCAAAGTGTAAAAGGCAGAAGGAATGCTAGTGGCACCTCCAGCTGCTGCAGCAGCAGCATCCACTGCAGCAACAGCAGCCGTTGACTCTAGAATGTCCTGAGCCTTGCCTGAATGACAGGTTTACAAACTGCTACTCCTCAGGTCCCCAACGTGGTCTCCCATGGAGTCCTCTAAGGAAGGATTCTAAAGACTCACCAGCATCAATGAACCTAACCAGGAGCCCAGACCAAGCAGAAACTGTGCAAGGCTGTCAACCTCACTCCTGAGAAGAGTAACAGGAGTGGCACAAAACTCCTGAAGTTGTTGTTTCTTCTTCCCTTGTTCCAAGAACACCTGTTGAGCCAGACCATGTGGAGTTGATAGATACAGCCATGGGGGGCGGGCGCGGTTACCTGACGATCCCCACAAGGGGTGGATCCCCCCTAATGAGAGGTCAACTGAACCCTTGTAAAAGTTGGCAGAAAGATTCGCATCTAAGAGAAATAGTGATTCCTTCTCAAAAACAGATGGATTGATGGCCTGCAATAATCTTAAGCTTTCATCAGACGTCTGAAGGTTCCCCACCGAAATAGATAATCATTGCTTAATATCTATCAGAAGAAACATGTCATGAGTCATTTCTGTTTAGTCCAGCAGGGAAATCTCTGCATCCCATCGCTTTTGCAATTACAAAATTGGATGTCTCGGTTCTAATACTGTCCTCTCAGTTTTGTCACAGTTTATTCAAAATAATATATAAGTTGGAAATCTATTATGTGAAATCTGTAAGAAGCACATAGGGAGGAAAAAAAGCCTTCAACAAACTCAACATATTCAAATTCTTACCAACAAAGAAGGATCGATTTCTGGCAGGATTCCAGGGAGAGGCCTGCAGAGGAGAAGGGTGACTTCAGGTGATGTTCCCCTGAGAGCAGAAATCACTTCCTGCAGGCACAAAAGATGGAAAACAAAGCTCAGAGTTTTTCAGGTATGCGTTCAGGAAAGTGGTGGCTTAAAGTGAAGGGAATGTCTTCTAACTGAAACAAGTGAACACAGAGAGGTCCTAACCTGTTGGGACAATCCTTTTAAAGACGAACCGTTGACTTTTAGGATGATGTCACCGACTTCAATCTGCCCGCTTTCTGCAGCAGGTTGCCCAGGGAAAAGCTTTTTAACCCTGACTATGCTGGCACCGGGCTGCTCTGGGGAGACACTGTCTTCCCGGCAAAAACTGAAACCTAAGCCTGAACTGTTTTTCACCAGCTTCACCTCAAATGTGTTGTCTGCAAGAAAAAAACAGAGACGGGCATCCATGTGAATCATGCTGTTACGTACATAAAGGCACTTAATGCTCCTTTATTCATGAGTTCAAAAACTGACACAGTTAAAGTACATCCATAACATACAGAAAGCTGGACGCTGATTGACAGACCATTTAAAATGCTCTGGCAGCTAGGGAAGCCTAAACACAATAATAAAAGATAGGTAAATAAGGGAGAAGGATTAAATTAAATTAAATTAGATTAATTTAAAATGCTCTGGCAGATAGGGAAGCCTAAACAGAGAATATCTTCATGCCTCTCATATGAAAATGGAGAAGAGTAATCCATCTTAGAATAGCATTCAGCACATCTGGGCACTCGCTTCAGCCAATCCTGAATTCTGAGCTAAACTGGGGCTATTTGGGGTGACCCAGATTGCAGTAGACAGCCCCCATTTAGTTCCAGAGTTGCCTGCAGCAGCCCCAAGATGCTCTGAAAAAATTTCAGGATCCAGAGAGTTAAATATATGCACGCATATATATCCAGACATGCAAAACCACAAGGAAAGGGACCAAAGAATAAAGACAGACTCCATAAAATGTGAGGCAGATGTTGACGTGGGTAAGAGGTTATGAAGAGGGGTTGGGCTTTGCTGAACTACAGCTTCACTCCCCCAATCCAGGAGAAGGATCTCCCTGACGCTCTCCAATCATGGAGAGTGTGGGGAGGGTCATTATGTCAGTTCAGTTGGATTTTATCTTGGATTGAGTGCTGTATTTCTGCTCCTTTAGCTTAGGCGTTACCCAGGTTAGGGCCGGTGTTACATTAACTTATTATATAGACTTAGTTTGACTTTGACTTATTTTAAGACTGAGGGTGTGTACGTTTGCATCAGGTGCTTGCATTCTTGTCTGGGCTTTGAGTGATTAGGCTTCAGTTCTTAAGCATGGTAGGGTCTTTTTCTTCCCCCACTTTTCCTTCTGCTTCTCATTTGGATTCTACCTTGCCTTTGTTTAGGGATTCTATCTGATATCAGCCAAACCAAAGTTCCTGTCGTTGTCCCTGGTGTTTGTCCACAGAGAAACAATACTAAGTGCCCTTACTTTTTCTTCCCTCTCCTACACTATATTTCTTATAGGGTAGAATTCTTCTTGGTTTTAAGTATGGGGTAATTACTCCTCCCTGCCACTGGCACAGGATCATAGAATAATGAAGTTGGAAGGGGCCCACAAGGCTACTGAGTTCAACCCTCCGCTCAGTGCAGGAATACAAATCAAAGGATGACCCCAGGAGACATGTACATTGCTTATGCCTTTCCATCTTTTCCATCTCTCACTATGCTACATAGGGTACAGGGTGGGCATTTCTACCACATATTAACAAATCTTGGAAGTGGCTGGCACAAAAACCTGGTTTACTGTGTGTCTGCAATTTGGAATGGTGAATCCTCTTTGTGGTGATGTGTGGCAAAGCATCCCTCCCCACGTTATAACCATTTGAATATAGAAGCGAAGCAAAGTTTGCTGCTTATATATTGCGCCACAATGTTTAAAGCACCCTCTGGGCAGTTTACAATTTTTCAGTTATGTAGGCTAGAAATTGCGCCTGCTGGAGTAAGTCATTCAGTGTATTTGAATTGGAAAGACAGAAGGCTGAGTCAACTTTGGAATCAAACTCAGATCATGAGCAGAATCTTTACTGCAATACAGTAGTTTAATCACTGTGCCATGAGACTCAAGTCAGTCTCAAGAGCACAGAAGACACAGTGCTGTGGATATCTGAGTCAAAGTTTGGAATTGGGGTCTGGATCAGCTTAGGGAGGTTCCAGTCTGCTATGAAGGACCCAATCTAAAGTGCCAAACTGCCGCTCAGTATTTCTTCATATCTCTCTTGTAGCTGGTGCACAATCATTTTGCATTCTAATAGGATCTCACCATCCGTGACGAAGTTGTATTCTCTGGTACTTGAGGTTTTCTTCACAGGTTTCTCTGGGCCTCCACGGGGACTAGCTTGACTTACAGCTGTGCACTGTGGTGTAACTGGAGCATGCATTCGCGCTGTGGGAAGCTGACCCTTTTCTAACACCAGGTGAACTTCCTGTAGAAATACCCACAAATTCATTAGGACTACCTAAATCATGGAGACACCACTTAGCCAATGAAACCAAAGATACGGGTAACATACAGTTTGACTGAAATGGCATCAATTGGATATCCGCATAGATAATACAGTGGTGCCTCGCATAGCGATCGCTTCATTTTACAACGAAATCGCTTTGCGACAAACTTTTTGCGATCGCAAAAGCGATCGCTTTGTGTTGTTCCCTATCGTTTTTTTTCGCTTTGCGATGATCGGTTCCCTGCTTCAGGCACTGATCATCGCAAAGCGATGACTTTTTAACAGCTGATCGGCTGTTTCAAAATGGCCGCCGGGTAAACAAAATGGCTGCACACTGTGGTTAGGGATGGATTCCTCGCTTAAGAGGCAGCGAAAATGGCCACCGTATGGAGGATCTTCACTGAACGGTGAGTTTTAAGCCCATAGGAACGCATTAGATACGTTTTGATGCATTTCTATGGGCTTTTTAATATCACGATGTTTTCGTTCTGCAGCGATTTTTGAGGAATGAAACAACGTTGCAATGCGAGGCACCACTGTATATCTCTAAGAATAAAATAACTAACGCAAATCTCTCTCTCTCTCTCTCTCTCACACACACACACACACCCCTATACATTTCAGTTTCACTTTGCCTATTCTGGCATCTCGATCTAGCAAGTGCCCTCCATTTAGCACCGGCAGCCAAAGCAAGGCACAAGGAACTTGATGAGGCTTACTCTTTAAGAAGTTATTATGTTTTGTCACCATCCTGGAGAAGAACAGTAGCACCAACATCTCGTTTTTAAAAGCCAGATGGCCGGTTCTTCCTCTGGCAGCAACTGCTTTTGCCTAGCAGGGAATGCAGGTGCTGCCAGAATAAGGAAAGCATGACTATCATGGCAGAGAATGAGTTGGTGCTCAGGGCCAGTGGTTCCTCCTCTTCCTCCTTTTCAAGAGACTTTCTGTGACAGAAACAATGTAAGACAGGAAGGAAGTGGTCCACACTATGCTCCAGCCTCTTACCTGGCCAGTATTTCTTAGGATTTCCACCGCTTGTTTATGGGTAGCTCCTTCCAGAGTAACCCCATTCACAGAAAGTACACGGTCACCTAGGAACCAATAATCAATAATGATAGGAGGAAAAGGAAACATCTGTAGAGTGAGTGGGCACAGACCACTGCAAACGGGAGTCTCTTAAAAAACCTACTCCTTCATTTTGCAAACACTATGAACAGAATAAAAAACTTTGGTGAGCAATGCGGTGGGGCAAGAGCTAGGACACGTTTTGCTAGGGCCCACAGAATTAATTACTGTGGCTCCTCACACCCAGCAGCTCTGATTCAGCCCCTGTTTCTCAAAAGGTAATCTTTTCACATGTTTACATTTTCACATTTCTTCCCCAACTTTGGGGAAATGATTTATTCAGGCAAAAGTATCAGAATCACCAAGCCAACACAACTGGGAGATAATAGATGTTGTAAACCAAAAGCGTTAAGTGTCCCAAACTCTGTTTACCAGGTTTCAAGATTCCAGTAAAGCTTTGATGTGGAAGTAAAAAATAAGTATACATGCCTTTTTGAATCCTGCCATCAGCTTCGGCTGCTCCCTTTGGAATAATGGCCTTGACGTAAAGTCCCCCATGCCTCACGTTAGTGTTCACACCACCCTACAGATTAATACATTGAAAACCACATATTTTAACACAGAATGTTAAGTGTCCGATCCCTGCCTCAAAAACAAAACCAACTCCTTAAGGAATCTAGAAAATACCCATGCAAGCTATCAGCCAGTTCAAGCAGCAGCCAAAGGTAAAACTCACACCATTACAGAATAAAGTCATCCTGAACCCCATGCCAATATTTGCCAGCTGCAAGATGAATTGATAAGGGTGTGGATGAAAAAAAGGAAACCTTGCAGCTACAGGTGTTTCAAAAAGGAACTACTGAGAAGACAGTATTTGTGAATGTTAGGAAAAGCACCAGGCTGTGTTTGTTTCATGCACTTTCAGCCATTCAGAAATAGATATAAAACCCGGAGGGAGATTAACAGCGGTTCCTCTACAGCTGTGGGAGGGAGGAGTGAGAAGCCTTGGGAGTCTAGGTGGTGGTCTCTTAAGATCAGAACAGCTCATATGACAGCCACAATTTATTTTTCGTGTCCCGATCGCTGTGCCTTTATTGAACGTTGGGGTGGGGATATCTTCAGCTGGTACTGTAGGCCTGATCTGGGTTGTGGAGCGCTCCAGTATAGTTTGCAGGGGCTCCGGCTCTTCCCTACCCAATTCATTATGGCTCTATATAAAGCCCTGGACTACCAATGGTGGGGAGAATACTTCCCATTGTTATATCCTATCTAGAGCTTGAAAGTAACAGGTTACATATAATATAACGAGTTCCTGGGGAGGGAGGAAAGGTGTAATGAAGTTTATTGGTAATAGGATGCTAATTTATTGGTAAGGAAAGAGTTTTCTAGTTATTTCCTAAAGCTACTTCAAGTGGCATTTTAAAACCATTTCAGAGATGAATCTTTTGTGTCATGTCACACTGAGCAAAACTGCTTTCTACCTAGCGCTTCAGTGGGAGACTCAATGATGCCAAGGGCACAGTTGTGTCCCATGACATCATCCAACCTGTGGAAAGCTATGGCGAGCATCAACATCTCTTCCCTCCCCATTAAAATATGAGATGCCCAGCTCTATGTTACAGATAAGAATTCAACAGGTACAGCTATCCTGAATACTGCCTCTCCATAACAAAACCGACCCAGTTGCCGAAATTTTTTTTTCCTACTCAACACGGTGAAAAACACTGCCAGGGAAAATAGGACCACTTTCAGTGATTCCTGGACAGATATTTTGGGGAAGGGCTACCGTCTGTCAGGGAGGGGTCTGTAAGCTCCTAAACCACAACCTAATACAGTTTTCATGTTTTCAGATTAACTACCTGTTTATGTAAAAGGAAGTCCTACAGTGTTCACTTGCTTCAGACAAGGGTATAGTACCTCCACCCTCTCAAAAAACCTCTCTCACAAGCGCAAAAACAAAAAAACAAAAAAACCTGAGGCTCTCCAAATGTGTTGGATGAACAGCTCCCATCCCTCCACCCAACAGGGTGACCTGAGAGGACAGGAAGAAGCCCAACACATCCAGAAGAAATCAGGTTGCAAAAGAGGTTGCCGTGTAGGACTGTAGAGCAAAATGGCTTCAGTGCTGCATCGGAAGAATACTTGTGCTTTGGGCTTCAGGATGGAAACCGTAACCAAAATATGTACAATATAGGACAACTACAAACTATACTATAAAAGCATACACAATACAGCACAACTGTAAAGCATGCTTTTTCCATCTTTTCACTGCAAGCTATTCAATTTTTAAAAGGATGAAACTCTTTTAACAATTTGGGAGAAATGTCTTGCAAAATAACCGGGAGTTTCTTTTTTTAAAAAAAGGTGTGAATTGGCTCTTCTAGTGATTGGCATTTATTACCCTTTTTTTCTGGGCTAAATCTAGTCTTGGGCCACTGAAATGAACAAGACTTGGCGTGCAACAGATTGCAATGCATCTACTTTAGCGGGGACTACAGTGGAAGTGAGTTGCTTTCCTCCTAACCCAAGTTCTCTGACATTGTGAGATGCAATGCTTTGATCTACATCTTTGGATTTTAAATCAAAGATTGCTGTGTAAAGGACTTTCTGACATCCCCACAAACAATAAATGCAAGAACACCATGTCATAGATCTACTTTCAGAGTCTTGTCTTTAAAGTGACATTGTCAAGTAGCTGCATAAAACAGAAGTATGAATGATCTTGCTCAATTTGGTTTGTAAAAAAAACAGAAATGCATGCAAACAATGAGGTTTAAGATGACCATGCTTGCAATCAAGAATGGTTCAATTTAATAAATTGAACAGTGAGATGGACTGATTCAATAAGGGAATCCACAGCTTTTAATTTGGAAGACCTAAGCAGGACTGCTAACAATAAGGCCTGTCAGAGGTCATTAATTTGTCGGGTGATTGTAAGTCGGAAGCAACTTAACAGCACATAACAACAACAGAAACATGTTGAACAAACAGAAGCCGATGAAACTGCATCGGAAGCAACTTAACAGCACATAACAACAAAAGAAACATGTTGAACAAACAGAAGCCAATGAAACTGCGTTCTTCTACCTTATTCCTTCCTTGTCAGTTTACCCAACCGTTCCCCCAGCTTATTTGGAAGGGGGGAAAGGGGGGAAATCAAAGAGGAATGAATGAATGGGTGTCTGAGAATTGAAGTGAGAGAGTGTCACCTTCTACTTTATTGGCACCTGGACAGCATTACCACTGGATTGCAACCTGGTTATGTCTTGAATCTATTCATAGTTAGTGATATTCTGCTTTGTAGCCAGCAGAGGGAGATCACATTCTGCAAGAGAAAATTATACTGACTCCTTTGCTGACCTTCCTGAGGCATGGGAGACCACTGCAAAAAGTGCAGTCACCCCTGACGGATTATCCACGTCAATGACGGATCATCCACATCACTGAAAGTGTACATTTTCTTTCTTGTATCATGTTCACTGTAGTGATTTGTGACAGAACTATGCTGTCAGACTGCATCGTTTACTTATAAATCAGGACCACGTGACATATTATGACTGCTTTTTGAGAAATGGATATAAGTAAAATGTGGATTTTATGTACAAGGCTGTAGCAATGCCCAGGTTTTGCAAGTCAACATGATACTTCCTATCTTGTGTATTTTAAGTGAATATTCTCTGGCTGTAGTTTTTTGCATTCCGTTCCTATTCAACTACGCTATTTGCAACCATGACTTAATTCTTCCTCTCTCTTCTCCTCCAACTGAATGGAGTAGATTCAACTACATAATAAAGGAACGGCATATTTATCAGTCTTTACATTGCTCTAGGGTGCGGTTTCTTTTTCTGTACCAGTTAGGATCTCAGGATGTAGGAAAGGAGAATCATATCAGCCATGATTCTTCTTTACAGTCAATCCTACTTGCTTCTTTTCCATCTGAATGGATCTCCCACTTTATTTGGCTCTGCCTTAAGGTATTACCTATTATATGGTTTGTTTTGAATTTCTCTGCCTTCCTAATGGGCTCTTGTAAGTGACCAGTGTTACTGTTACTGGTTTTAAGCTTTTTAATCATTGGTTCTTTTACATGGGTAAGTGACCAGTGTTACTGTTACTGGTTTAAGCTTTTAAATCATTGGTTCTTTTACATGTTGCAGACATGTAAACTTGTTTCAGTAGAGAAATAATGTTTTTAGTTTTAATCCTGGAAAAAAGCCACAATTGTCCATACTTGAAGCACTTTATGGAAGTATGCATTTTTCAGGGAACAAAGTACAATATCTCTGGGTTTGGGGCATTTTTCTTTATTTTGTGGAGTTACCCTACATCTGCATACATGTAACCACATGCGTGATTGCAGCCTGGAGGGCTGTTGAGAGAGGTTAAACTTTAGCAGCAGATAAGTACTTGACATTGCCTCTTTAAGGTCCACTGCTTCCCTGTAAACCAGACATTTTAACAGGTTGCTTGGCGTGGAGAAAAAGAGAAAACATCTAAAAACCTTGTCAAACAGTACCGTGACACTTATTCCCAGGCCGTTATCATTTTTGACCAGTTCGACCTCAAAGATATCTCCAGGTTTAAGAGGCGGCGTAGAAAACTTTTTAGAATTCATTGAGTTGGCCAAATTCACGAAGGAAGACTCCTTTATTGAAAAAGATTTAAAGAAAAAAAGAGAGAAAAGGACAAGACAAAAAGAAAGATACTCTGTTAAAGGAAGTAATTTGTAATGATGACAGTATTGGGTATTGACAGAGACAGGCAAAGGACTGAAACAGAAAAAGGACAGTATATGTACATAAATACTGACATACACAAACACAAAAACCAGGGAGGCACTATCTTCTATCAAAATGTAAGCAGAATTGTCTCAATTGCTATCTAACCCACCTTCCTCCAATCTAATGTCCTCCAGATGTGCTGGACTACAACTTCTATCATTCCCAGTCATTAGTCACCCTGGTTGGAAATTATCGAAGTTGTAGTTCAATGTATCTGGAGGGGCTCAAATTGGAAAAGGCTAACTTAATCCAGTGGTTCACCATACTTTAAGTAAAGGTAGCACTTGATATTATGGGCAAATTAATCCACACCAACAGGCCTCCAGGATGAAGGCATCAATATGCCAAGAGCAATAACCTTGTGAAACCAAGCCATGCACTACGATACAGGCATGCAGACATCTGATTTATGGGTGCATTATATGACTCGGCAGGTAATCAGCTGACTACAGGGAACTCATCATCTCTTCCTAACAGAAGTGCCAGAAAGCTCCTCTTTAGACAGGTCGGAAAGTAGTTCTAGTTCTAGCTCTCCCGCTGAAATTAGTATGGCATCAACGTGCTCCACACTGGCTGATCTTGTAGATCTTTTCTTTCATTAGCAGCTGTTTGGATACTTTGCGGAAGAGAGAAATTTAGGCCACGAACATAGACCAAATTCTCTTTGACGTCAGTGGAACTTGCTTGTGTGCAGAAATTCATTAGGCTGCATTTGTGAAGCTTGCTATAAGTGGCATGCATGCATGGTAGCAATTCTGCTAACCACAAACAACAATGCAGGGAGTAAAGTTTGTTTCAGAGAAACTTTTGCTTACAAGCCTCATCTTAAAGCTTGGGGGGGGGGGAACCCCCAGACCCTACTTTCCTGGAATGCACTTTCCCTGATCTCTCAGATAGGATGGCCAGCAGCTGCGCTGACTGGACGAGTTGGAAAGCTACAGTGGAAAAGGTAACTTCTCCAAGTTCCCAGGCAACCTCATAGCAAAGGGTTTCCAAAACCTAACTGTAACCTTTCCTTACACATAGAATTAAAATTCCACCTTGTTCTCCCAAACAATGTTTCTCTTTTAATAGCCTTTAATTTCGCCTCTCCCTGCCCACGATACGGGCTGATGCACAGATAGCTCCTGTCATGTCCACCTTTCCAAAGCTCCCTCCAACCTCTGTGATTGTGACAGCTCTCCATCAGCGGTGACCTGGTTCCTTGAATCTCTTGTGGCAAGCATTACTTTGTGAATTCAGAGAGAATTAAAAAAAATGCTTCCACAGAAAAGGAGCAGAACCAAGAGTTAAAAATAAGGGATAGAAAAAGCTGTATGAATGGCGCGGCCAAATGAGAAAGAAAAAAAAAGTTCATCTACCCTTAATAGTGTATTTACCATTAGCTGTATTTATATCCTGCCTTTCCTCCACTTTCTCTTCAAAACAACCCTATCATGTACAGTAGGTTTAGGCTGAGAGAGAATGAACAGTCCAAGTTGATACAGTGAGTTTCACGACTTAGCAGGGATCATCACCATCATCTTAGAATTGCAGAGCTGGAAGGGACTCAATGGATCATTGAGTCTAGCACGTGTTAAGGAGGCACAATGGGGAATCAAACCCCTAACCTTTGGCTCTGCAGCCAGATGCCTAAACCACTGAGCTATCCAGCAGTTCTGGATGTGAATTTTGACCTCCCAAGTCCAAAACGATCTGAGTCTGAGTCTAGGTACTATACCACACTCCCTCTAGTTCTGTCACACAAGCTGAAATTCCCTCTGCTACACGCTGTTAAAGGTGAAAAAGCCCAGCTCCCCTTTGCATATTCACCACGCTTGGGCTGAATGTCCAAAGTTGTCAGGATGTGCCTTAAAAGTGGTCTTGCTCACAAGAATGGAATCTGACTCTCCCTTTCAGCAGGTCATGGTGTTGTCCGTAAGCAATCTTCCACTATAAAAGGCTTCATATCCACACACACACACAAAAGCTCTCAATAAACTCAAACTTTCCAAGCATCCCTTTTTTCCCAGGCAAGTGGGAAAAAAAATATTAATCTTACACTGCTTAAAAGCCAGCAAACTCCAGCTGCTCCTTAGAAGCAAAACTAGACTCTTGGTCTATTCTTTTCAGTGATCTCATATCATGATACCCTCGCAAAGCATTTCACCTCAGAGAACCCTGTACCCAAAATGTTAGTACAAAGTGCAAAAGCAGTTAAGCAAAGAAAATGATTCTTTGCAAGGTACCAACCCACCCGCGATCCTTTTTTGTTTTTGTTTTCCATTCTTACAAAAATATGCTGTCATACACAAAACGACACAGAGTTGGGGGAATAGGCTATAAAAAAATAAGACTGTGCCTTTTTTGTTGCCATTTGCTCTTGGCTTCCAGAGTAGGTGGCTTCATCCATGTCCGAGTCCCCCCGGTCGGAATACTCGATCGTCTCTACTGCTTCAGGCTTTTTGGGCTTTGTCGCATTTCTATCCAGAGAGGATCCGTTTTGCTCGCCACATTTAGAAAAGGCAAACTGAGACTCATGGTGAAGTGGAAATTCCTGCGTGGCCTGGCCACTGACATGGCTGCCAAAGCCACCGTTTGGGTGGCTCTGCGAAAGGCTGGCGCTCTCAGTCCGAGAATCTTGGGAACTCAGGCTTCCATCCCGTTTACCCGAACAAAGGCCAGTTAAGCTCCCAGAAGGGGACCTCGGCTGGTTTAGTGGCCTGCTGTGTTCTTCTGAAGATGACTCTGCTTCATTGTCTGGCATCGGTGAAGGCCTTTTTAAATAGCCCTTAATGCCGCTGAGGAAGCTGGATGATGCTAAGGGCAAATGAAAACATCCAAACATTATTAAAGTGCCTTCAAATACTCTGCCCTAATTCAGACACAAGTACAGTAATTCGTTTTGATAATCCAAAAAATGCACAACCCTCTGCCCATCTGCTCTAGTTTTATACCGCCTCTTCTTTCCTCCCTTCTTATTAACCACAGATTCTTGTTAAAGACTCACAAACGATTGTTACTAGGATTACGAAATAAACTAGGATGCCAAATCATGGTTTAAATTAGTTTGAGATCCTGGTTTGTAAACTTCTGTGTCCCATCCCGAAAATGTCAGTCTCTCCTGCTACTAAAAAATGTTTCGCCACAAAGTTGGAGAATCTTGTTGAATTTGAGAGTCACTGGTAATTCAGAGATTCCAGAGAAATCCCCAAAAGTCATTCAAATACTCTGCCCTAGTTCAGGCACAAGTAATTCGTTTTGATAATCCAAAAAATGCACAACCCTTCTGCCCATCTGCTCTACTTTTATACTGCCTCTTCTTTCCTCTCTTCTTATTAACCACAGATTCTTGTTACAAACTCACAAACGGTTGTTACTAGGATTACGAAATAAGCCAGGATCCCAAATCATGGTTTAAATTAGTTTGAGATCCTGGTTTGTAAACTTCTGTGTCCCATCCCGAAAATGTCAGTCTCTCCTGCTACTAAAAAAATGTTTCGCCACAAAGTTGGAGAATCTTGTTGAATTTGAGAGCCACTGGTAATTCAGAGATTTCAGAGGAATCCCCAAAAATAAAGGAGAAGCACCATCTGTGAATGGCACTGTACTTGTAGAAAGTGAGTACACCTGTTTTGGGGGAAATCTCCCCTGAGAGGGATTATATCTTGACCCACCCCACCACATACTATTTATCTAAGGCAAGATAGGCAACTTGCAGCTCTCCAGATGCTGTTGGCCTGCCCACCCAATTAACCTTAGTCAGCATAGCTAGTGGGTAAGGATGATGGACATTGTACTCCATCAACTTCTGGAAGGGCACAAATTTCTGATTCCCCTCCCCATCCCAAAACTAAATGTAAGGACATCTGAATAACACCAGCCTTACAATATGTGAACTACCTTTTGTAGATCCTTCCTTGGGCTGTGAGATTACAAGAGTCACATCTTCTGGAGCATGCTCAATAATTTCTAATGCAGTGTGGTGGCTGACCCCTTCTAGGCTTACGCTGTTCACTGATATCAGTCGGTCTCCTACAGAGAGAGAGAGAGTAAATCAGAGACAAGCAATCCAACACGTATGTTTCTTGGTTTTTCACACGATTTGTTGGTGTGTTCACTGGACTGTGCACTGAATTAGGTCTAGCCCTTGTTGACATCAAGAGGGTTTGTGCAGTAACATGCCACAGCAACATATGAAACGTTTGAGCAACAGACTAAACTCATTTTTTATACTTAGAGGAAATTTAAGAACTGTCCATGTGTTTTATGGCCCAGAACAACAATTGTGCTGACCAGAGGATTAAGTTCAAGTCACCAAATAAGCAACTTTCCGAAATTTTGGGACTACAGTACTCCGTAAACACAAAACCTCCGGTAGAATTAGGCCCAGAACAACAATTGTGCTGACCAGAGTATTGTTTAAGTTCAAGTCACCAAATAATCAACTTTCCGAAGTTTTGGGACAACTCCGTAAACACAAAACCTCCAGTAGAACTGCTACACACATCAAAATGATGCCTAACAGTCATAAAGAGTGTTTAACCAGAGAAGTAATATGTGACATGTATTTAAGATTCTTGTGTGATTTGGCTTGGTTTTAACTTCAAAGAAACAACCTCAGGTTTCTCCTTTGGTCTGGAAAGTAGTGCTGAGGAAAAAGGAGAAGGCCAAGTAAGACATGTACAAATGAGGTAGAAATCATACACAAACTGTACATGTTTCCATGATCAAATTAGAAAATCCTACCACACCTGTAAAGTGGGAGAAACCACCTCATAAAGATTTATGTTCACAGATCCCTCTGTGTCATGCTCATTTAAGCCCTGAAAACGCTTTACTAAAAGTGTTTTTCTAGGAAGAATTGTTGGCTGTCATGATCATATTCATCAGCATCGCAACAGAATATATCCTACGTCAATATTTAACAGATACTTAGAGTTTTGGTTAAAACTTGTATCTATTATACAACACCAATGTGCTTATTATTTTCATTGACTATGCTTGATATTTTTAATAACAACAGGAATGCCATCAATAGCAGATGGCATTTAAAGATACTGTAATTCCCTGAAAGAACTCGTTTATATTATTTCATTATTCCAAAACAAGTAGCAAACGCATATGCCATTCATGTCTAAAATTATCAGTTAAACATGCAATAATTTTTGTCTGATATGCAGATTATAAAAATATAGAAGGAGACCATGAGTAATTAATGTTCTATCTATGCCTCTCCCCCCACCCCCCTGCTGGACACAGAAGTCCCAAGATGTACCTGGTTTTAACGTCCCCTCCAAGTCAGCAGGTCCTCCAGGAGTTATTGAAAGAATAAAAATGCCAAGATCAAGTTTTCCAGCCTTCTCACCACCGGTGATCTGAAACCCTATTAAAAACAGTTCTTTAGCCATCTTTAAAATTCCACAATTGTGAGCTGACTGTCACCAATCTATTGCCTGCAGTTTGCCAACAATTTCTTTCTGTAGAACAAAACACCCCAAGATAAGGTTGCTGAATTTCCAGCCCAGGGGAGAGAAGTCTTCTTGGCCTGCAAGTTCTCCCTTGGCAGCCAGACCCACCTCTTACTTTCCCTCCCCCAACTACAGCAGAAATGATCAGTGACCAGAAACCCAGCAGGGACGTGGGCTGATGTGAGTTTTATCATCTAAAACTGGCCCTAGCATTTAAGGTGGGTGATTTTTCAGCTTACCAAGAAGCTGAGCTTGGGACCTTTTACACAGAAAACATGTATGTATACTCCTAAATTACAGCCCTCCTTTAGGTTGGCATTGCCAGGTAGGTCCCAAGAGTGTGCTGCAGACTCAGTAATCACTTGTTCCCACAAGATTAAGCTTGTTTCCATATCTGACATTTCTTCAATCCTGAAGTCAATACCAAACAAAACAAAGGCATTTTTGCAATGTATTCTAGCTGGACATAATATATGCTCCATTTTTGTTTGTTTCCGTATTTGCACACAACTTTCCAAGTAACATCAACATACCTAAGCCATACTTTTCATCTTTCTTCAGCTTTACCAAATTGATTTCTCTTTCCGGCAATGACCCTGTATTCTGCTTTGTTTGGAGAACATCTGCAGGCCAAAAAGATACACACATGCAAACATATATAAGTTTATAGAAATTAAATTTAACTTTGACACATAGTAGGCTGTAATTATTTCTTGGAACAAGATATAACATGACTCCAACTGTTGAAATCAAAGCTTCCCCTAAACTCAATATATAATTAAAACAAACTGTTCCTATAACTCAGTCATGATAGTCCTTGACATTATCTCAACCTTTGGGAAAGCAAATATTCTTCCTACATGAATTATTAGGATGGGTCATCTGAGACGCATTTATCAAAAGTAATAACTCAAATCTTATGCAAAGCACACAGATCCTAAATGAACCAAAGAACAATGCTGCTGAATGAACCAACTCCATTTTTTACTGTGTTCACACTTATCAACTTCAACATCTTTGTGGCATCATATGTTCTTTGCACATGATCTCATGTCTCCTCAAGTGTCACTTGCTCCAAATGTCTACATGAAGTAGAAGCAAAAGAAATCCAGTTTGACCTGGCATGTAAAAACTTAAAATTCCTTCCCTCAGCCTCTAATGGCAATGGGTTGAAATAGTTGTTATGGGGAATGCATATTTCCTCCACCAACCATCATGCATGATCGCGGCAAAAAGCAGGCATACATATCTGAGAACTGAAAGATCAAGCTAGACATTAACGGGAATGCATATTCTCAATTATTAAACTACCCATTTACCTCCCACAGTAGAATTTCCTCAAAGATATGTGCCTCAGCAATCAGATTTTCAGATTAAGCATGTTTTACCTTTTCATGGCCAATCACAAAATAAAGCATACTAACTGCAAGATACACAGGTGAGGAAAATCCAGTACTAGAATAATTAAGACAACTTTTGTAACCTTGGGGACTTCTCCAAAAACTGTGACAAACATCAGTTTGACAGAAGGCAGAATCAGAGTAGGTAGTGAAACATATACTGACCCATCTCTTTGACTATCAAACTCTGCTTACACATGTTATGGGGCAGAGTGGCCTCAAACAAAAACAGTTGGTCACTGATGATAAGCAATGATTTCTGGGCTCCAAGAGAGCTAAACTAGCAAACAACAAAATAAACAAGCCAATCTATTTACTTTAAAAGAATTGAACTCAGGGCTGAGAAGGGCAACAAAGCTACAAACTAAATTTTGAACAAACCGTAACGATCATGATAAATTCACACAAACTATTAAGGTTAGTGATAACTCAAAAACACATGTGCAGTAAAAGATAATGAATTTAGCAGTTGTTCTCAAATTTGATTATATTTCTAAATGACACAGTACTTTAATGAACCAGTGCTGACCTACAACATAGGCTTGGCCAGTATCTTCAGCTGATGAAGTATCAGATTCATTTTTCCTTCTTTCTAGGCTGGCACTTAAACCTGCATGAGAGTATGAACTAGAAGGCAATTGAAGAAACAGCGAAGGAGAAACAGAAAGGAAGAGGGAAAGCAGGAGGGGACAAGGGAAAACGTAAGAAAATGCTATAAATAAATGTGACACATGAAACACGAACTGGTGTAAAGATGCACACTTTTTTATATTAAAGAACATATCTATGGAAATTGATGAGGCATGAAGAAGTTTATTCTGGGTGCATGGAAGCAAAGCATATGGAAATAAATATGAAGATCTGGCGACAAAGAGATTTTAATATGATGAAATGATATACAAAACTGCAGCATTTCCTGAGGATAGCTTGTGGTAGCTGGAGGCAGGACTCTTGGGTGTGAAACATTCAGTGGGGCAAAACTGCTGAAGACTTTCTATCTGTTAAAGTAAAAGTCCCCAAAGGAAATTATACTTGCCTTTCACCTGATAATGCTAGCCATTCAGGGCTAATGATTCTCATCATAGAAGAGGATTTGGAGTAGAGTAGGAAACTTACATTTTAATATCTGTGGTTAACCTAGTTTAGCCACTTGCACAAAGACAAGACTCGTTCAGATCCTACAGCCTTTATAGGAAGGCCACTGAACAATGCTTACCTGTGCTGGTGTACCTTGCAATGGGTGCAACAATGTAAAGTCTCTTGCCCTGTGTCCTATTCTGGACAGGTACAAAGCCTCCATTCTACACCAGTGGAATGGAGGCGCTGAGTGCATTCTGTCCCTAAGCATGAGGAGCATTAAGCCAGGAGAAGGCAACCTGGTAATCTCTGGACATTATGGGTCCCAATGCCCATCAACCATAGCCAGCATAGACAACAATCAGAGGTTATGGGTGTTTGCAGTCATTAGTTGTCATGGACATATTGCAAGATCTAAATTTTCCAAATAAATACCACCCAATCAAACCACACTTGGGCTTACTTTTTGATAATGGGTATTAAGGGCCTTGATAACATTTGCAGGGGAAGACAACTGGAGATTCCATAGATGTTCCAGGCTAGAATTCGCACTAGCCTCCACCAGAAGGACCAATGATCAAGGAGGAAGGGAGTCCAACAGAATTGGAGGGTTGCAGGTTGTTCTTGGTTCAAACCACTCAGTGTAGCCACTCAATGTTTCGAGCAGATTTGCAAAAGATGGCCCTTCAAGTAGCTCTCTACTGTGACTGCAATACCCAGAAGGACCAATGATCAAGGAGGAAGGGAGTCAACCCATGAGAGAAATCAACCCATGAGAGAAATCCTTACTTGTTCAGTTTTGTTCCTCCTGTCACTAATTCGGTATCAGATTTCGGCACCTGCTGGAAGATCTTCCCCATCAATTCCTCCATTCTCCGGGAGGAGTCCACAGGGCTGACAGTGTTCTTCCGGAATGGGCTGACGGACACTTGATTCTGGGTCAGATCATGATAAGATTTGCTCATCATATGGGGTCTTTCTTCCCATGGAGGCTTCTCACTTTTATCTCTGGGACAGCCCTGCACTGGCTGGAAGAGGGACAGCTCCGAGTGAGAGAGTCTCTTGAGGATCTCAGCTTGCACTGACAATGGGCGGACGGCAAGCCGGTTCAGGGTGCTGCTAGCCAGGCTGCCGGTGCTGATGGCACGACCCATGTTAAACCCTTTGACAGAATCGGTGTGGAGGTTGAGGCTCCGGAAGGATGCTCTTTCTGCAAGGAGACAAGAACACGTTGATGCACATGAACAAGGGAGAGAGAAATGAGATACAGTACCTTCTTTATGGATTAGAAAAACCTATAGGAAATAAAGATGGCTTCTGTGACCTGGAGTTCCCCAGGCTCACCCAGAGCACATTAGACAAAGGACATCATTCAATAGCCAGAGTCCAACTGAGGTTCTAGAACTGCAGGCAGGCTTAATGTTATGTTAAGTGTTTTTAAGGAAGCTTAAAAGCAGTCATACTCTTTATGAAGATAAAAACCACCGCTGGGACCTCTGTTTCTATTTTGGGGTCAGGAAGGGCTGTCTTAGAGATTGTCTGGGAATGACAAGCAATGCAAAATACAAAGCTGCTATCTGGAACTAACAAGCAGCACTAGAATCATGTGGATAGATCTTAAAACTCTACAGTGGTTAGCAATCAGTTTCTAGTCATAATTCAATGTGCTGGCCTTAAACCTTCCAGGACCAGAGTATCCAAAGGGCCACCTACTCTCACAGGAACTAGTTGAGCCTGTAAGACCTTCTTCAGATAGCCATCCCAGGGTCTAAGTAGATATTAAGGTTCATCAGAAACATGCACCTAAATCTTGCAAACTGAGCTGTTGTTTACCTTCCAATGATCAACTACAGAACAAAGCACTGTAGATACATAGGTGAGGAAAATCACATTACAACAACTATACTTCATCACTTGGCCGATTACCTCTGTAAAACACACACCGCGTATATGAATCACCCAGTTTAACCCCTAGATTGCCCCTGCCTTTTGTTGTGAGAAGGGAGTGGCAGGAAGGAATATAGAAGTGCTGGTTACATCACCTGACCTTTCAAATGCTTTGTCCCATCTGTTCATCAGACTCTTCTCCTACATCTTTCTCCTAAAGATTTCTAAAGACTTTACCATTCTCACTCGTTTCCAACATCTGCCAATGTTGTTGAACTTCTGCACTATGATTCTGTTGATTGTCTTATTCCTGGTGTTTTATAATTTTAATACAATGTAACATCTTGATATTGTTTGCTTTGGAAATGTAAATGATTTAAGAGATAGGGTTTAAATATTTTAAATTAAATCAAAAATTATAGGGGCAAATGAAATGCCTCACCCCTTTTGAGGCCCATTCACAGAATGAGGGACCATGTCAGCTGTTTTTCGTTTTGAAGGGGGCAAATTTTGCAATGGTAAATAGACTAAGATTAAAGGAAACAAATAATAAATATACAAATTCTTAAAGTTCCATACAATAAAGACTATCATTTAAATTTATTCAGATAACCAAATTAGAGGAACATTTTCAGGCAGAGGGGAATGAATGGTGGCCATCACATGCATAAACCCATATCTCTCATCCCTCCAAACACCCTCAGAATGGGGGGATTCTGGAAAAATCTAAAATTGCAGTACTTAAAGATCTTCAAGAAGGCCAACAAGATCATTACCATCTCCAATTCTGAAAGGTTATTAAAAATCCGAATGCTGTGAGACAGTCTTCCTCACAAGTTGAACAGGGGCTTAATTTTCAGTTCCTCAAAATGTGACCCTGTATGAAAATAAATGGAACTCCACAGGCCTGCCAAACTCTTTGGTGCTGGGAGTGGACAAACAAGGTTCTTGGCTACAGTGCAAACTCCTACGGACATGCACAGTGCTGAGGCGTGAGCTTCTTTAAATGCACTCACTTTTATCATGTAGCCTCCTTTATCCAGCATGAACTCATTCAGTTCTTTGAAGCCTGTCTATGTTACTTTTAATCTTTAGCCAAGATTTGTGAGTCTTTTTTTTCCCTCGCACTCTTTCAAGAATTTGAATCTCTGTTCTTTAAGCCCAAGTGCACAGTGTTGTCCACAGGACTCTTCTCAGAAAGATTCTACATGAAAGAAACAATTATCTTGCCATTTGAAATTAATCCTCCTTATCATGCACCTCAAGCCCTTGTTTGCTGGGATTTTATTAGACATCCCCCAAGCTGAATGTTCTTCTCTGAGCTGCTGCCTTTTTTTCTCAGCTTTTCACTCCGTCACACAGTCTATCCTAGAAATGTCCTTTCATTTCTGCTATCTCAGTCTGTTATGTTCACATGCATGTGCATTCTACTGGATATGGTAAAAGCTAAAAGCAAAGTTGCATGGACTTTCCTCTTTCCCGTAGTGCCAGTAGTGTACATGGCTCTGTACAGGGAGATTAAAACGAAATAAGAAAACTCTACCCCAAAAGGCTGTACACAACTAACAACACAAAAAGCAAACAGGAAAAGAGCAGGAGAGTAATAATATACTATAATACAATCAAATAAAAACAAAATCATTACATATAATGAATGATTATGCAATCTTTCAATGTGAACTTATTGATTATATCACGCCCTGAGACCTGTCAATACAGGGCAGATCAGAAATACTTTAGACAGGACTCTACAGAAGAATTGCCAATTACAGCTGATCATAACAAATTAGATCAATGGCCTAAAGTCCACACAACTTCCAAGCACAAATACTGTATGCTGAAACTAAGTTCTCCTTTGGGTCAGGCTAAATGTTACATTTACCATATTTTTTTTTCAAAAAAGATGCTCCCCCGACTAGTGAATGGCATTTATTTGTCGCAGCATACGATTTTCATCTACTACATGTCGTATTTAGTGTTATTTGTTTTGCGATTAGCTGCTTGAAGGTAAATATGGGCTTAATTAGCAAATCTGATTGACGAGGTCTATATCATCATGGTAGGAGGGAAGGAATAGGCTGATCAAATGGAAATACACATTCTTCTTGACACCAAGTTCATGTTCTCAGATATATTTGCCTGTTCTTTTCAATGACTCCCACGCATTCATGGTAGTGTTTAATTCTAGCTTGACTAGTTCCAAAGGAAGCAACTCTGTCTTCCTCTCAATCATCATTAAACTAGACATTACAGATAATCCATCATTAAAAGATGAAGTTCCTTAACAGTTAACCAGATTTCATCGTCACAACAGGCGTGTTGGCCACCCTCTGTAGTCTGTGAATTAGTTTGCTTTGTTTTGTAACTGGAGATAAGCAGACACTTCATTGTGTCATTATTACCGCTGAATCATGACGGTCTGCCTGAATCATGTCTCCAGAACACGAATGCATTTCAACTTCAAATGACAGGCCATCTGTAATGTACAGTTTGGCCCACAGAAAACCAGTAGCTTAATCCTACACAAAGCAGCACAAATGACCTTAGAGATATTCATAATTACAACAATACTACCAAAAATATCAGCTAGCATTTATTCGGGCTTACCCATTTCCTGAGCATCCTGGTTACTTTGTCTGGCTCTCATCTGCAGTTGGAATTTATGCTGTGAAGAGCAGAGCTGAAGCAAGTACTGGCAAGTCTTGCTTGTTTCTGTTTGGAATGCATGTTTTATACCATCAGATGTGTTCTGCAAAGTTATCTTCCTTTTCTGCAATGTGGGAGACAGGTACAGAAAATGAAAAACTTGGATCTGCTTTCCAAGTCAGGAAAGACAGGGATCGTGATTCAATCCGAAATAAAAACTTGAACAGAGAATGGGCCAAACGTCCTGCTGCATTGGCTATACTGAAACTATGAAACAGAAGCACAAATTTTGCAATTCATGTACAGAAATGTGGCTAGAAATTATATAACAGTGAAATTCAACTGAAAGCACTTGACAGAGGTATTTAAAATTCTTTTTACAATACCTGTGGAGGAAGAAGGTCAAATAGAATCAGGACTACAGTAAAGGAAATAAGGCCCTTTCCTTGTCTGCCAGGGTCCTCTTGTATCATCTGTCCTCAACTACCGACCGGCTGACACCCCTCCTCCCATGTTAATATAAAACATTAACAAACATCAAATGTACCTTAAATGTTTTACTTTCATTATTTATTGTGATAGGGAGTCGAGAAGTCTAAATTCAACGATCAATCTCAGCCAGCACAAGATTCAATGAATCAATGAAACTTAGGTAAGTGCTGATTTAAACAACTTAATTCATTCAATGGGTCTCTCTCTGCCATGCTCCATTTTTGAACACACACATCTTTATGAACATGGTATTTGGCCTGCCATCCACACATTACTGCATCTACCCCATGTGAGATACAGTTATCTCTGTGACAGCAATAAGGAAGACCTGGTAGTGGCAGCACCCAGCCAGTTCAAGGAATGGACTGTGAAACGCAAGGGAGCGAAACACTGGTCATGAGAAATTAAGTACAGTATTTCTAAGTGCCAATGATTTCCATGGGTGAAATTTCAGCATCAGATTATCTCTCTTACGAAAATCACAATAACTTACAGGTGCTTAATTTGATTGTGCTCTTTCATGTTGGTGAGACTCACAGCCAATCTTCATATTCAGAAGAGAAATCCAGTACGTTACAATCCTACTGAGAACGTAACCACGATTACATATTCTTACGATTACAAGTGTTGTCGTTGTTCAGTCTTTTAGTCGTGTCCGACTCTTCGTGACCCCATGGACCAGAGCACGTTAGGCCCTCCTGTCTTCCACTGCCTCCCGGAACTGGGCCAAATTCATGTTGGTCACTTCAATGACACTGTCATCCTCTGTCGTCCCCTTCTCCTCTTGTCCTCACACTTTCCTAACATCAGGGGCTTTTCCAGGGAGTCTTCTCTTCTCATGAGATGGCCAAAGTATTGGAGCCTCAGGTCCAATATAAAGCCCTAAACAGGCTTTATATAAAGCCCTAAACAGCTTAGGACCTCGATACCTGGCAGAGCACCTTCTCCCACCCAGTTCTGCCAGAGTCATTCATTCCAGCCAGGCTGGGCGGCTGAGGGGCCTAACGCCGAGGGAGGTCCAGAAAGAAAGAACGAGGAACAGGGCCTTCTTGGCAGTGGCCCCTTGTCTTTGGGACAACTTGCCAGTGGAGATCCGCCTGGCTCCCTCTCTGGGTGTTTTCAGGAACAAACTTAAAACCTGGCTATCTGAGCACGCTTTCCCTCTTGCCATATCTTAATTTCTTATACTTCACCATCTTGGACCTATAATATATGTATTTGGTTTTATTGTTTTTAAATTTGTAAACCGCCCAGAGTAGACCTTTGGTCTAGATGGGCCGGATAGAAATTCGATAAATAAATAATTAAACCACTTGTAGGTTTGTTAGCACTCCTGCTTTTAAAAACAAGCCTCCTTGCTTGTAGAAAGGTAGCATACCAAAGAAAAAACCCAACCTAAATACCTGGCATGAGCAGGAAGATTTGGAAGGAAGAGGAAATGGAATGATCATATACCATTTCCCCCCTACATTCTGAAATAGTGTGGGTTGGAAGGACTACTATACCGTATGTTTTCCATTACTGTTTTTCACTAATGAGCTTCTTCATGTTTAGAAGAAACAAATTCAGTAACAGCCCCCGGTGTCTCCAATCTCATCTCCAATTCAGCTTCTCTTGCATCATCCAATTTGTCTCACTGCTTGAGGCATCTGGTCCATATTACTGAGCCATTAACTGCATAGGATGGAGCACCTTGTAACATCCTGCTTATTTTCTTTGTCACAGTATAATATGAATTATGTGAGTAATCTAACTAGGTAGGTGGTTTAAGTTGCAACTAGCCAGAAGTTTTACTTAAAATGTTACCAACATACACTAAAAGATATCTTCTTTGTTTCTCTCCATGGGAAACGAAGCACGAGTGTCCGGGATCCATTGTGAACCTCAAAAATGAGAACTCCTTTGGGACAAACTCCGAGCAAAATTCCAGTTTGAGATTTTTTCTCTGGCAGCACACGATGAAAATGAACACCATATTCTGTCAGCCTTTGGCAAATCTACACCAAAAAAAGAAGTAGGGAGGGAGAATTTTTTTTTGAGAAAAACAAATTTGAAGATAAGGATTAAGATGGAGGAAGGATTTTGATCCACAAGGTAATTCCACAAAATAACAAACCAATACTGTATGTTTTAAAAGAAAAGCAACAACAACGTGCTCCTGAAATCATAGAAAGTCTCCATTTGCAGGATGCTCTATTTGAGCTGTCTAAATTGTAATGTATGAACTTGCACCTAGTGCAGACCTTGGTTGCTCTTTTTGCAATTTTCATGGGCAACTGCTATGGTTACCTGTAGGCAGCTGCAACTTTGACCATAGTTAGAAAAGCCACCAGACTCAGTAGAAATCAAATCCACCGAATCAGGGGACTGCACATTCTAAAGCTATATATCAGTGGTAAAGCACATGCTTTGCATTCAAAGGTTCCACCCCCAGCATCTCCACACCTGGGAAAGCCACTGCCAGTCATTGTCAACAATAAAGGTTAAAATGGAGCAAGGATTTGATCCATGAAGCAACTCCACAGAATAGGTTCCTATGTTCCTAAGACAACAAGGAGCAACACACGACTGTCCCGATATTGAACTGCAAAGCCCATCCACCCTAGCCACAACGACTAATAGCCAGGGACAGTGAAAACCATAATCCAAAGACATCTGAGAGCCAGACATTCTCTCTCCTTGTTCTGAAAGGGGATGTTTTATAGGTTACAGGAACTAAAGAACAGCAGGCGTCTTGTAGAAGGGATGGGCACGGTTAGGTAAGTGCAAGTGCAGGCACATGTGCCTTCCAACGTCTTTACACCCGTGGAGAAACTTTGTCCCTGTCTTCTAGGTTGTCGCTGACTGTTCATGTAAGCTCCACGAGTGTGACAGCAAAAGCCAGACCAGGGAGAAGAATTAACAGCTTCAAGGACCTGGATTCTTTTTTTGGGGAACAACAGTGAGGACTGGGGTTAGAGGAAGAGAGAAAACGAATAGATAGTGGCAGATGGGGCAAGGGAAAGGAGCTTCAAGGACCTGGATTCTTTTTTTGGGAACAACAGTGAGGACTGGGTTTAGAGGAAGAGAGAAAACGAATAGACAGTGGCAGATGGGGCAAGGGAAAGAGTTTTCCAAAACTGGGAACCACCACTGAAAAATTCATCTCAGTGTGTAAACTGATACCTCATCCCACCATTTCAGAGTGGAATGCTCTCCTGCTCCAGTTACTGTGCCATTTATGATGTCCACTCTGTGTCACTTTAACGCCTCAAGGGAAAACCACATGTGCAAATACACTAGGAAGAAACAGATGGAAGCCTCAACCAAGCAGAGATCCCAGTCCTTCACTGATGTACATGACTTCTGCCTTACACTTAAGAGAGGTAAATGACACTGATAAATGGGGGATCCAGCATCTATAACATATAAAAACTGGTCTTCCATACTATTTTCCACTTGGCTTTTTCCACTTGAATAAAACACCTGTTCTGAAAATAGACTACCTTTCATGCAACCGCCTGTACTAACCTTAAGGAACTCCAATTCAGCCTCTTTTTCAGAAGCACCAGCGTAAGTGCTATGCAGTTTTGGCAATTCTTCTTTGATGTTAGATAGGTCCAGGTTTTCCATCACCCTCGCTGGCAAATAGTGTTCTGTTCTGAAATATGACAACCCATGCACCTAGAAAAAGAAGAAAAAGCTGGTGCGACCCATTTTGGTGGTAGCCGAATGCTAAGCTCTGCAAGCAGAGCAAAGACAGACACAGTAGAACTGCCTATCCACTAAGACTGTTATTTTTTTAATGCACATGTGTTCCTGCTTAAGGGCAAAACGTGTTATAAGAAAACCAAAAGCTTTTGGCTAACAACTTAAAGCATGTCTTCAATTTTAATTCAAAGATAAATCTAAGTCAAATATAGGACGTTTGGGAAAGGATAGTCTAATAGTTGGGCCTGACTGTAATTTTGCCTTTCTCAACAGAAAAACTCCTGCTGTCATTGATATCCTATTAAGAGATTAAGATGGGCATGAACTGGTTTGTCCCAGTTCATCCCAGTTTGATGGCAACACAGGTGGTTTGTCCCAGTTCATCCCAGTTTGTAATGATGGCAACACAGTTGCTGCTGCTTCCCTCCCCTGCCTCTTCAGCCGATTCAACCACTCACCAGGTCCAGTGTTTTTTTCCCCACCTCCTTGGCTGATCTTCCAGTCACGAGCAAGAGCACAGACTTATGACCTGCCCTTATGTCTGAGTGGGGAGATCAGCCAAGAGGGCCGGGCAGAGAAGCCTGGGCTGTTGCTGGGACTGGAAGATCAGTTGAGGAGGGGCAGGAAGCTACCACACTGAGCCTAGTGAGTGGCTTATTGAGCCTGTGCTGCCACCTTTATGAACTGTGATAAGCTGGGATGAAACTCGGATGAACTGGGTTGGTGCCCATCTCGAATTAACATCAAAAAGAACTGAATCATGTTGGCTTCAATACCACAAACAGTGAAGACACACTGGTTTCAAACTACTCATTTTTGATTCTCTGAGTGAAAACCAACTCCATGGTTTCCTCTGTGTCAAAACAGCTATGCAAGAGACACCTAAATTGGCAATCTAGTGGTTGCCAACAGACAAAATAATGATTCTTACTTCTGCTTGGTAATCTCCATATTCTGCTTGCAGAGCTAAGGAAGCTAACAATAAGGCTGTCTCGTCATCACAGTGCATCCTCTCCTCCAAAAGATCTTTCCTTATCTGCAGGTAGTACTGATGACAAGTCAGAGTATGCCTGATTTTTTTTGGAGGGGGAAGGGAAGAGATGGGAAAGGGAGAGATAACAAACAGAAAATGTGGTGTACAGTACATATAATAATTATACATAGTTTAGGTTTTCTTTAATACCAAAGTGGCTTATTCAAGCAGTAGATCAGTTTCATCAATACCGATGGATAAGTTAGCAGAAAAGGTTAGCAGGTCAGCTAATTAGGGTGCTAGCTGTCTCAGTAAGAATTCACTATTGGCCAATCTTTTCCTCCTAAGTTTTCCATCTCTAGCAGAGAATGTGGCCATATAATAATATTTTTTTAAAAACCAACAGCACAGTAATCTGGACATTGTGAAAATGATGTAGGGCATATATGCAACAGGTGCTTCTATACTCACTGCAAAAAGCTAATATCATCCACAAAGAACTTAACGCGGAAAAACAAGGTGAAATTTATTGAGCTTTTACTCTTTTTCTTTGGTTCTTCCTTCCAGCCTTCAGGGGCTATTTTAGTCAGTTTTAGCTCTGGATCGATGAAGAAAAATTCATTATCTGCCACCAGAAGAAAGATAAAAAGAAGCTATTAAATAAGCATGGTTGATCAAATTACAGAAGTCCTTCTGCAGGACTAGGATTTGCTAACTCTCCTCAGTTTCAGCTTGCTTATTAATGGTCTCCTTTAGGCTATAAACTTACACCACAGTAGGTACCTCATCCCCAAAGTAGCAGAGTGAGTCTCCACAATCCCACCAGCTGCCCTGGTCCTATTTCTTAATTCCTTGAAGTATGTAAGCCCCACTGCACTAAACAGACCTACATTTAGAGCAGGCATGTATATGCTTGTATTATTAACTGCTTTTATTAAAAGAGAGATATAAGACTATATCTACGCCTCATAGTCGCAGCTCTCTGATGCTGTTGTAATGGCCGCTGAGCCATCTTATGGAATCCTGGGATCTGTAGTTTAATAATATATTAGTAATTCTTTTCTTTAGTCCGGATGTGTGTGTTCATGATTGCTCCCTAGCAGAGAATTCTAAGCAGCTTATCCATAAATCACAGGTCTGTGCAGAATGGAGCCATGACAGCTGAAGTAGTATTAAACTGCTACCACTATGCAATGCATGTACACATTTAGAAATACAAAACACTGCAAACAGGGCACATGCTATGGGAGACACAATAGTAATGTATTTCTAGCTTCATATCTCTATCACAGGTTTGTTAGAGGTAATGCAATGGCTCGCTAGAGGACTCATTAGATGCTCTCTGATGGGAAACAGCCTCCTGCAGACATCCACATCTCAATGGCCATAAGGGAGAAGGAGTTCCTACCTTTAAAAAGTGGGCATGATCACAGTCCTAAGTCAGTGGAGTCAGAGCCAAAGTGAGCATAATTTCAAAAGCGGAAAGGTCTGCAGGCAGATTGAAGCCCACGTGAAAATATTACTAAGCACCATATGAAACTAGACCAATGTATGGCTGGGTTTCTTTTCTACTAGATGCAGAATCCCCATCCTAGCTCATGCAATTTGCCAGTAATGTGTTGGACCTTTAACTGAATCTAAATCCCCACTGATTCAGTAGACCTTATCCAGTGCAACTTTATATGCTAAGAAAAATGGGTTCTAGTTTGTGCACTGGGACGTGTTTTTTTTCCATACTGGGGCAAATAACAGCTTCAGGAAGATTTTCATCAGTATGGTGCAATTAATGCCCTTTGATTCAGATCAAGAGTTGTAGCAACGATTATTAGACACAATTTTAAAGAGACCAAGATTTCTGCATTCCTGTGGCAATATGCAAGCTGTGAGGTGCCATGAAAAATAAGTGCCCTTACCTTTTAAAGTAGCCAAGCCAAACAGGTGATGTTCCACTAAGCCAATATGGGCCACCACCATATCAAACACATCTTTGCATACAGTCTTTGTGTCGCAGGTCAGCTCCAGCCTCTGCCCACTTAGAAGCATGACGTTTACTTTCCGACGACTGTCTTCATTCTTCCCCTTTTTGTTCTGCATTGCATGAGATACATACGTGATTGCATTGCCATGGCACGGCAGAAAAACTGTATGACAAGGGTTATGCGTGGCAAGTAGAAAATGCCATTGGCACTTTCCAAAACCGAGAACCCATTTCTCTACTACAAGATAGCTCTAGGCAGGTTACAGTTCCTCAGAATTATATGAAAGAATGACAAGTTAATTTCACAGTAAAATCATGTGCCTCTTCTAATGATGGGCTCCCTGCAATGTCTGTTTTGACCTTAAATTATTGAAACTATCCTTGGTTTGTTTACCATGACATCTGAGCTGAGGATTCTGCCTTGTCTCTCTCAAAACACCCTATGCTACAAAGCAACAACAAACCATACCTTACGCATCTGACCTGTTTGAAGAAGACAAACAAGAACTTATGGTTCAGGCATCACGACAGAGAATATAGGATGGATGACCCATGGTTTCATAGAATCATAAAACTGTAGAGTTAGAAGGGACCCCAAAAGTCATTGAGTCCAAACCCCTCATGGATCAGTTAAAACACCCTCAACAGGTTGCCGTCTAACTTCTGTTTAAAAATCTCGAATGATGGACAATCTACAACCCATCAAAGTAGTCCATTCTTCTGTTGAACAGCTCTAACTGTTAAGATGTTCTTCCTAATGTTTAGGCAAAAATTCTTTTCTTATAATTAGAATGCACTGCCTTTAGTTCCTACACTCTGAAGCTAAAGAAAACAAGCTTGCTCTATTTTCCAAATTAGGGCAGAAACCTGTGCTGCAGAGTCAGAAGACCAGCAGTCGTAAGATCGAATCCACGCAATGGAGTGAGCTCCCGTCACTTTGTCCCAGCTCCTCGGCAACCTAGCAGTTCGAAAGCGTGTAAATGCGAGTAGATAAATAGGTAACATCTCGGTGGGAAGGTAAAACAGCGTTTCCTAGTTACACTGGCCACGTGACAATGGAAACTGTCTTCGGACAGGCGCTGGCTCTATGGCTTGAAAAGCGGGATGAGCGCCGCCTCCTAGAGTCGGACACGACTGGACTAAAAATGTCAAGGGGAACCTTTACCTTTAAAGGTTCCCATTGACATTTAGTCCAGTTATGTCTGACTCTAGGGCGCACTGCTCATCCCCATTTCCAAGCCATAGAGCCAGCGTTTGTCCGAAGACAGTTTCCATGGTTACGTGGCCAGCGCGACTAGACACGGAACGCCGTTACCTTCCCACCGAGGCGGTACGTATTTATCTACTTGCATTTTTACATGCTTTCGAACGGCTAGGTTGGCAGGAGCTGGGAGCTGGGAGCTCACTCAGTCACATGGATTCGATCTTATGACTGCTGGTCTTCTGACCTTGTAGCACAGAGGCTTCTGTGGTTTAACCCACAGCTCCACCACGTCCCTTGTATTTTCCAAACAACAACCCTTCAAATATGAGAAGACCACTATCCTACTGGCTAAAATCCAGCTGGCACAACTAAATGGGCATAAATGGCACTGATGTCATCAACCTACAATGTTACTTTTTAATTTAATTTAACTGAAAGCTTGCTGTTCCTTCATTCTGCATTCTGACATACTCCACAGGGATCTTGTCTGATCTGGGGAAGCCTTTGGGATCCTCAAGATGGAAAGAGGAGACTGAAATATTGAAAAATCTATGTGACAACATTTTCTCCAAATATATGCAACTGTGTTCCACTGTGATCCATTTAAAAAAGACACTAAAAGCCTGCAATGTCTGACCAATACTCAACAGATTAATTTGATAAAAGTTGCTTCTGGATCCCAAAAATAAGCTTGAGCAAAAGTAAAGGCCACCCAACCCACACTTCTTGTGACGCCAAAGAAGTTAAGCCAATGGAAGCAACGGGAGGGGTCTAGCTGGAAAAATGACACTTGGACATCTTAACCCATGAAGAGATGAGGGGCATGCAGGAAAAGATTAATAAAGAGAAGGAAGTTTTGCAGGAAGAAAAAATATGTAGCCATCATACAAATGGACTAGTAATGAGTTATATCACTACTGCTGCAGTACCTTAACCATTGAAATCTTACCAAAATTGACTTTGGCAGGTCCAAGGAGGTGAAGGGCTCAATGGTTGTTTTCACAAACTCAGGACCAAAGAAATTCTGCAAATCACAGAATTTCATATCAATATTCAGTGTTCAAGCAACCTGAGCAAGACTGAGAAGCAATTGCAAACTTTGTAACAGTGATAGTGACAATTGTTGGAAAATACACAAGGATTACAAACTGAGAATACCATTTCATGCATCTGACAAAGTAGACTCTAATCCGTAAAAGCTTACGGCAAAATGTATCTGATCATCTCTAAAGTGCCACAAGACTTTGTGTACATGTGTCTACCATAACAGACTAACAAACCAGCCTTTCACATTGCAATCTTTCATCATGCTAAAGGAGAAACAGTTTCAGATGCTGCAATGGGAGAGAAATTGATTAACAGGTTTACTGATCAATATGAAACTACAGTTAGCTGGACCCTCCCATCCAATCCGATATTACTACAATGAAGGCCTGCAGGAGAAATTAGAATGACATCCACAATTCATGAAACACTGTTCCTGTGATCACCCCCTTATGGGACATCAAAATACGACACTACAACTTCAACAATGTTGGCAACATATATATTTACATATTTTGCACCCTCTTTGCAGAGCAGCTGCAACCCAACTATGCTACCCAACATGCCAATGGTTTTTAAATCTTCTGCCTTTAGGTAAACAAGTCCTCGCAGACCTGTTGGCCATGGCAAATTCACTAAGTGCAAAGGATTGCGGTTAATGAATGCTTCAGTATGCACGGCTCGCTTTTACAGAGTACTACCCATGAATGCTCCAACAAACACCCCATGAAATGTGAAGACATGCCAAAATCTCTCCAATCGGAACAGATCACCAATAATGGGAATTATTAGTGTTTGTTTGGTGTCACTGATCCTTCCACCACAAGGATCCATGATAAGCTTCCAAAGCACCTGGGTTTGTCTGGAAATGAGCTCACAGATCATAGCTGCTATCACCGATCATACATGCAATGTACCAAAGCCACTTAGCCAGGGCTCTCAAGATCCTTCCTATACTGCCTCATGAATAACCTGGAAAGGACTTGGGACAACTGGAGTAATAGACAGTAGCCTAGAGATATTCTAGGAAAATCAATAAAACAGCTTCTGGTTTTTCAACATTCTAGTGTCAAAACCAGACATGGTAGTCCCAAATCGTTTGCTTAATTACCTCTGTTACTGCTGGAACATGCAGCCTTCCTAATAAGAATCTAAGGAATGAATAGTGTTTTTAAAAAAGACAGACAAGCTTCAAGAGCATATATGGATACTTACTCGTGTGTGTGTGTGTGTGTGTGTGTGTGTGCGCGTGCGTGCGCACACTGAGGGTGAGAGATGCACAAATAATACTTTGTTCAATACAATTAATTTATATGAACAAATTTTAGTCAGCACAGATATTGCTGAAAACATCCACTAGTATTTCAGCATCTGCATGCTATATATATATATATGCTCTGATGCCACTTTAATTCCATTAGAGATGGGCACGAACCACTTTGTCCCAGTTCGTCAAGGTGGCAGGACAGGTGCTACTGCTCTCCTCCCACACCTCCTCTGACTCAAACAACCAGTCATCAGGCTCAGCTTGCTTGTTTTTTCCACCTCCTCAGCTGATCTTCCAGTCCCAGCAACAGCTCAAGCTTCTCAGCTCTGCCCTCTTGGCTGATCTTCCACTAAGGCAAAAAGGCAGGTCAGAGAAGTCTGTGCTCTTGCTCATGTCATGTTAGTGGAGTGGGTGGAAAAAGCAAGCAGGCTGGGCCTGGTAAGTGGCTACTTGAGCCAGAGGAGGTGAGGAGGAGAGCAGCAGAACCTGTGTTGCCATCTTTACGAACAGGGACAAATTGGAACGAACCAGTTCATGACCTTCTCAAATTAACATGTATCCATCCCACAGAATCCTCAGAGGTACTCAGAATTGCCTATTTGGGAGCTCTAATGCATTCACCTGAACTACAGCAGAGAATTCCAGTACTGTATCTCATAAAACAATAAATTCCAGCATGGACCCCACAGATACTGTAGGTGCTGTGATGGAGCCAGCAGAAAAGGGGTTAACTATTCCCTCAATTTCTCTTCAAAATACTTAATCTCAGGTACTGTAACTAAGAATGTATGCCCTTGTATTTCAGTGAGAAAGGTTGGTCCAGCTCATGAGGAGATGATGGGATACAAGGTCAGATGGAACAACAGGTAAGTTAAGCAACTCTTTGCTAGTAACTTTGAGTTCCTTTATGCTTTTATTGCTTCAAAATGTGATCCAGACTGCTACCATGTTGGATTTATGTCTTGGAACCATGCTACTTTGTAAATATAGATTAGGATTAGATAACTTTTATTGCTTTAGTGGGAATGACTCCTTGTTGCCTCGAACTCTGAAACTGCTTTTGTTCAGCCTTATAATGAAAGTGCTTCATATTCGTATTATTATTTTGCTGGAGTCAATCCGCTTATTTCCAAATCTATCTATCTATCTATCTATCTATCTATCTATCTATCTATCTATCTATCTATCTATCTATCTATCTATCTATCTATCTATCTATCTATCTATCTATCTATCTATCTATCTATCTATCTATCTATTTATTGGACTTATATACCGCCCCATAGCGCTACAAGCACTCTCCGGGCGGTTTACAATTTTTTAATTATACAGGCTACACATTGCCCCCCCAGCAAGCTGGGTACTCATTTTACCGACCTCGGAAGGATGGAAGGCTGAGTCAACCTTGAGCCGGCTACCTGGGATTTGAACCCCAGGTCGTGAGCACAGTTTTTAGCTGCAATACAGCATTTTAACTACTGTGCCATGAGGCTCATATACGCTTTTCTTAAAATTTCTTCAGTAAAATAACAAAATTTCACAGCGGTGTCTTCATTCAGACAGCTAGAGGATTGTACATACTAAACCCAGTGTCATACGCACTTGGGTTTTAAGTTTTCTACCTTGCAGGATTGGTTTGGAACCAGGAGCAACAACCTGCTTGTTCTGTTTTCCCTGGAATACCAAGAAGCAAGTGGTTCAAAGGGTGATGGGGGAAAAGGGCTTACAGGAAGCTTTCCAAATCACTAGTACACTGATCTGCCTGGCAAGCACCCAAACCAGGGTAGTGCACCTGAATCCTCTCTGCGGTGACCTCATAAAACTTCACAGGTGCCATGGCAAAGGGGTATCAACCTGGTATAACCCTGATGTACAGATGCACTCTACATGAATAACAAGCTCCTGTATAAGCACCCATCAGCAGCCAACATCTAATTTATAACTCAACAGATTCAAGTATACAGAAGAGCACACTCTGTTTACCCTTAGTTTCCTTTGGGTCATGGCTGTTTCCAGTGCGATTTCTCTCAGAGGATCCCTCGTCATATCAAGCATCGAGGGTCTCACTGTTTCTCCAGGATAGAGGCTCAGTCGTGATTGCTGGAGTGCTATTTTCGCCTGCAGCTGCATCATTTCCTCTTCTTGGCGTTTTAGCATGACTTCTTGACTTAAAAGATTGCTTTCGAGTGGTGCTTCATATTGTCTATTGTGGGGGAGAAAATTTGATCACCATGGAAGGCAGAGTATACTATTAGGCATCCTGTTGGCCAAACATATTGCACTATTACAGAAGACGGTACAATTAAACCAGTACGTAGACACATATGATATCTCACCAATAACAGAAAATTTTGACAATTCTTCTAAAAGAAGAACAAGAGAGTTGTGTCTTTTTCTTCTACTACTTTTTGTTACCTCCGAGTTGATCTGCACATGGTTTGGCTACAGAATAATCTACATTATTTCCATGTCAAAGAGATGGGGAGGACTTCTGATCCTTTAAGCAAGCAAGGATGTAAAAAAACCAATTCCCAAAATGTATCCCTCTGATAGTCTGTCAGATGCAACAACTGTCTATGCCATGCCTGGCTTGCTGTAATTACTTATTTATATGCATCTCTCTATCTCTCAGCTAAATTTCTATCACATTTTTCTGCCAGAAAAGGTGATCAAAGCAGCTAAAATAAAAAAATAAAAAAACCTCACACAATTTTGACTAAAACACACCAAAAAGATCACCGATCACACTCTCTCTCTCTCTCTCTCTCTCTCTCTCTCTCTCTCACACACACACACACACACACACACAAAGTTTACGGGTGTTTTCTGACCCCACCATATTTTTTATGAAATGAGGACAAGCAATAGAGTTTAGCTTAGAACCTGGTCCCAATGATAATAAGAACCTCTATTGAATCAGGTTTTGCTTTTTAAAAAATTCAATTTAAATTTTGGTGAACACACTGAGTATGTGCACATGACAAGGGATCATGCTATTGTGAGTGACATTGCGTAATAAGTTTATGGGTGTTTTCTGACCCCACCATATTTTTAATGAAATGAAGATAAGCAGTAGAGTTTAGCTTAGAACCTGGTCCCAGTGATAATAAGAAACTCTATTGAATCAGGTTTTGCTTTTAAAAAAACATTCAATTTAAATTTTGGTGAACACACGGAGTATCTGCACGTGACAGGGGATCATGCTATTGTGAGTGACATTGCATTGAAATGTGGAAGCACATTGATACCCAATTTTACTGACACAGAATAAGTTGATAACGAGCACATGTCTGCACAGCTAACGGAGGTGTGTAAATAGATTTTGGTTGAAATGTCCAGTTGCCTTCAGGGTCATTCCAGCATGGCCAGGGTTGCAATCGTCCTGATGTTATAGAAGAATACATTAGTGTAGCAAAGTGGGTAAGAGTAAGCAGACTGAAGTTCAATTCACACCTTACTACACTCTTCATTGGTTCTGTAATTTCAGTTATTCACTTTTACTTTGCTCTTGACTTGGATAATTTCTTTATGCCAGATGCAGGTACAGAAAACTAGTCCTTTCTAGGGTGTATATTGTTTTCCTCTGGCATTGTTTACACCTTGTTCAGATTCAAGTTTACTCTCATGTCCTCACTAGATGTGCTTCAATTGGTAACAGGGGTCAGAAGAAGGGACTTGCCCAAAAATCTTAATATCTCAGAGGCTCAGATGCAGAATTATAAAGCATATCTATGTACAGTGCATGTGTGCACAGCCTAAGACTAGAATCACAGAATAGCTTGGGTTGGAAGGAGCCTATAAAACCATTGAGTTCAGCCCCCTGTTCAATGCAGGAATTCAAATCAAAGGATATCTGCACCAGTGTGGGTAACTTTACAGTGCCTATTCATATTCATACTGCACATTAATTATTAAACAGAAGTATCTTCTCCATAGAAATTTTGTAATGTACAAAAAGGTTATCTTTACAAATGCAAAATCTTATCAAGAGTATCTCCTCCTCCAAGTCTTTCCTTAACTGTATCACGTTAAGGTTTCCAAGTCAGCTGAAATGTGTAACTTCCACCCGAGAGCATCTTGGCTTGTGTTCATAAGTCAGGACACAGGACTTACTTATTAACTCGGTGCTGGTAGGATAATCAGTCAGCTGGAAAATGGGATTGTGGTGAAAGCCAGAGCTATGTTAATGGACTGCCTCTGGTACTTATCGAGACACCCTTCCCTACTGAGGTCTAGAAAAAGAAGCCAGTGTTAAGGGGTGAATAACAGAATGCAGAATGAAGTGTGAAGGGGAAGGACCACATCTGATTGTAGGAGACCTGACACAGCGAAGTGAGAGATGGGCATTTAACTTCTCTGTGCCAAAAAAAGAGTGACTCTCTCTTTGTGAACTACCAAAAGTGCTTGGTGATTGCACATACCCCCCAGATTAGACTTTGCCCTCCCCTGTTTAAAAAATTTCTGATGAAAACAGATGTTGTCTGGGTGAGAGAGAGGAAGGAAGGAAGGAAACAATGGAAGCCTACCATCAGGGCATAATATGACAACGCTTTTATTAGGTACGGCCAGGCTTAAAGAACCTGTTCAGATGCAAGTATTTTGTGATTTCAGGGCAGGAAACAACCCCTCATATCAACAAGCCCTATTTGACTCTTCATTTCTTTAAAAGTTAAGGGAAAAAGAAGAAGAAAACTGCAAAACAACAACAAATTCAGTTTTTTAAAAAATGTTTCGAAGTGGCATAGGGCTTAATTGGCTTGATGAGCAACCAATTCAGTACTGCTTTACAAGGGCTTTTAAAAATGTTTGCATCCTCTCTCCTACCTTCTGTGGTGGGAAAAGGAGGAAGCTTTCAATTTCCCAGTATCAAGAAGTAATGGAAGCAAAGCGGTAGCTTAACTCATCTGCTTTGGTTCAATCTCGGCAATCACACACCCTGGAGTTATCCTACCACCACAACCTTCCCACCGCCCAAAAACAGTAATTCCCAAGAACAGGGCAATGAAATGGTGACTAATATGTATATAAGAAGTGGAGAGGTGAGCAAGAAGTGTTTTTAAGACAATCAAATATACTCAGTGAGCCTTCTGGACTAGGGACCATGGGTCAGTTGAGATGTCCTGGCAAGTGAAGAAAAGAGGCACAACCTAACATTTAAGAATGATGGCATTTTTTTTACAACATGAACTTATCAAAGATCAACATTTTTTTCTACGTCTTATAATTATATCAGATTTTGAGACAGAAAATTGTCTCAAAATTATAGTGAGCCGAGGGGCTGCAGCTAATTCAACTATTTTATCTGTAAGTAATCAATACAACAAATCAGTCATTAGAGTTCAGTTCTTTTAGGCCTCAGACAAGTCTGGAACCTAAAATGAAGAAAATATTTGAATGATTAGGGGTTACTGGGGTGAAGCATTTTCACTGCTTTTTTTTCTACTCTTGGCTATCCTAAAAATAATACTTTTGAAATAAATAAATGGAATACGTTGTGCTAAATCTAATATTAGTCTCAACTAGAGAAGACCCATTTAAATTAATGGGAATTACATTGCTTGTTAGTAAAAATTCCATTCATTTTAATGGGTCAATTCCATCGGGACTAACATTGGATTTAATCCATTGCTTGAGTACCATTGTCACGAACTTGGAAGATGTCAAAGAATTAACTGATTCATTGGACATATTCCACATGATTTCACTTTTGATTTTTCTAGTGTTTGCCTCTTCCAGTAAGACGTGTAGAACTGTTTCAACTCCAGCTTCTGAAGGATTATTTAAGGATTATTTAAGCAAGTTGAGTGTAAGGGCAGGCCACTGAGAACAGGGTTGTTGGGGTTTTTTTTTAACGAAGGACAAAAGTACAGCATTAGTATTTTGTGGTTACTGTTATTATCTCAGAGGGTTGTGAACTGGAACAGGAAAAATACGAAGGCAGAATAAGCCAGCCATCCGTTTTAGTCATATTTAACCTGAATGGCAAAGAAATGATTAAGAAGTGGAGCAAAGGTTGCAGCCAGTAAGACGTTTACTTGTGGGTGGATAAAGGTGGGTGGCACTGATTTACAACAGAATAGGGTGCAGTGTGTTGAAAAAAGAATTAGAGCCATGCTGTCTACTTTGCTTAAAGCTATTTTGGCTGGCAATGAAATTCCAGCAGCTAGAAACCTAATGAAGCCAGTGAAGGAAGGAATGAGCCCAGTCTAAACAGGAATGTTAAGAAAGGCAAGTTCATGTTGATCAGTAAAAAGGAAGCAGCCCATAAAATGTAGTTGAATACCCACAAGAAACATATTCAGCAAGCTGGCAAATTCAAGTATCTTGGAATTTGATTGAATGAAGATTTGGAATACGCCATGCAAAAAAATTAAAAAAAATCCAAATATGGCCCAGAACAGCTTCTCTAAGGTAAGGAATGTAACGTGTAGCAAAGTATAAAACTAACTTGAGAAAGCACACATAGCAGGCCTATGTTTCCTGGTACTACCGTATATACCGTATTTTTCCGTGTATAAGACTAAACTTTTGTCTAAAATCTTTAGACTAAAAATTGAGGGTCGTCTTATACACGGAAGCAAGCTGAGGAGAGAACAAAAACAAGTGGAGGAGAAAGCAGGGATCAAAGTGATCCTGCAGGGCTTTGATCCCTGCTTGCCCCTCCACTTGCTAAACCCCACTTAAGATTTCTTAATTATGGATTAGAAAAGTAGGAGGTATCTTATGCATGGGGGCGTCTTATACATGGAAAAATATGGTAGATGGAATGGTACGGATGGTACAGATTGTATGGATTTTAACCCATTACTAGAGAGAGAGTGAGAGAGAGAGAGAGAGACTGAAACATTTGGAGCAAGGTGAGAATTTCTGGGACTACACAGATGACTAATGAAGAGATACAAAGTAAAGATGTACCAAAGTGAAGGGATAAAGACCAAGAAGTCATGGAACTGAAAAAAATGCAAACAGCCAGAATACCGGGTCAGCCCCATCACTCTCCATAGATCCATACTAGTGTCAGGACTGTGCTGTTTCAAGATTCAACTCTGCAGTTTCAGGATTCAACCCTTCACCGGTCAAATGCCCCTATGAACGAACAGCTGCTACATTAGCTCCTAAGTCTGCTGACATAAATGCAGTGAATTAATTACACCCTAAAGATTTAATTGTTGTGCCTTGTCATGAGGATATTTGCTCATAGGACAGTAGAGCAGCCCAAATGACTGAAGGGTGAAGAAAGCACACTCTGAATAGGCTAGTTAGAAGGACAAAGGACTGGGGATGAAGGATAATCTCACTTCTGGGGTGGGGAAATGATACCAATGTGGAGGATATATCAGGGATCTCCTACCAGCTGTTCTCAGACTGAAGAAGCTACTTGGATAAGTAGCGAAACGTTTCAACCTAACAAGAAAGAAGTCCAGCTGAATGACTCAACTTCCAGATAACCTCACCTGGATCACAGATATTTTGAATTATCCTCTGCAGGGGGTGATGCAGAATGCAAAGCACTCCTTAAACAAGGATATCTTTAAAGCGACCCCTCCTTGGAGGTCAGATTTGGGAACAATGGAAATTCCATCAACCAGAGTGGTGCCTTGCTAGACGATTGCCTCACAAAATGATGGATCCGCTAGACGATGAGCTTTTGCGATCGCTATAGCGCTTAGCAAAATAGTTTTGCCTATGGGCGATTTTTGCTGGACGAAAATACAGTGGTGCTTCGCAAGACGTTTTTTTTTTCCAGGCCTGATGCCTCGGTCCGTGCTTCACAAGACGGTTTTTTTCCCCCAGGCCTGATGCCTCGCAAGACAGTGATTTTGACAGCTGGTCTGCGCTTCGCAAACCATTTTTTTAAGGGACAGTTTTTCGCTAAACGACAATTCTGGATTTTGACAGCTGGTCCGCGCTTCGCAAACCGGTTTAAGGGACCGTTTTTCACTAAACGACAATTCTGACTGCTGATCGGCGCTTCGCAAAACAGTTTCCCTATGGGCAATCTTCGCAAAATGACGACGAGTTTTCCCCATTAGAACACATTGAATGGATTTCAATGCATTCCAATGGAGAACTGTGCTTCGCTAGACAATGTTTCCACAAGACAGAGATTTTGATATTCAATGCATTCCAATGGAGAACTGTGCTTTGCTAGACAATGTTTCCACAAGACCGATTTTGATAGAACGAATTAACATCATCTAGCGAGGCACCACTGTATTAATAAAGGCCAGAATCCCACTGATTTGCGTGATCACGTAAGAGCAACTGTGCAAGCAGCAGGTGGTACTTTCTGTGCTGCGCATTCTGTAAACTTTTTAAAGTGCGACAACCAGACAGGAAAAAGCAGAAAGCACTTGCACAACTGCTCATATGCACATCCTGAACAGGATTTTGGCCAAAGCATTCTGACAGATGTCACATATGGGAAAACGATGGTGTAAGTTAAGATCCTACTTCCAGTTTAATTTTGTGGACTAAAACCCTTGAGCCAATGAACACTTTATCACCAGGGTTGAATCCTGAAACAGCAAGATTCCAACAACAGTGTGTATCCAAGAGGATTTCAAAAGAAGACACACTCCATGAGTGCTTTCCCAGAAGCCCAGCCAACCACTTGAAATTGGTTACATCAACCAAGGCCACACAAACATACTCTTAAGTTGCAGGACACATATTTCATTCCTGCCCATGGCAAGATAGATTGATGTGATCTTTAAAAAAATTCAAAAAAATCCCTCTTGGTCTATGTACACCGACATATTTCTTAGGAAATGAGTCAAAAATATTTCTGCTTCAGACTTCACCTCAAGATTGATGAAAGCATGAGCTGTTCAAGACTGAGCAAAGCAGATTTAGGTGGGGCCTCAAGACACTTTTCCCAACTATAAAAATGGTTGGGCAAGACAACAAATATCAGTGAGATTGTGGAACCTTTCCTCTTAACAGGTTTAAACATGCTTGTGAAGATCTACTGAGACTGGCTTAAACCAATAACTAACTATGGCTTTTACAAACTATCAAACAGAAAAATAAACCTCACACTTCCTGTTTCTCATATTACTTTTTATTGTTCAAAACAATGTTAGAATATTCTCCTCTGCAAAACTAGTCCCTCACTGATACATTGTAAAGTCCTATGGAAAACATGTGTTAACAGGAAGCACTTATGCTTTCTTCCCCTTTCATATGGAACATATGAAGTCACTATTAATACATAAGATAAAAAAAATCAGGCATTTTCAAAGAAAGCTCCAGTAGCCAACAACTGAATATTCAACAATAGTAGTTGCAATTAGTACAGTTGGATGCATTCTATGATGAACTGACTTAGTATCCTTTCGCTCTCTGATCTAGTGCCTACATAGGAAGCTGCCTTGGAACAAATACATCTGCAATATCAGTCAGCAAGATGGAATGTCAGCAAGAGATGTAAACTTTCTGGAAATTCTGAAGCCATATAAAATGGCTTCAGGGAAAAAAACAGAAAAATTGGGAGAAAAAAAGTGTTTTTTTCTGTGTTTTTTCTAAAATTGTTTTATATGGCTTCAAAATTTCCAGAAATTTTACATCTCTACCTGGGAATGTATCTTGTGTAGAAATGGGAAGGCCAGAACAAAAAATCACTAGAAAATCTGGGGAAAAACAGCTTTTAATATGCCTATTCTATCCTTCATACAAATAGTTCTGTTTAGCACAAGATGGGTCATTTCCCCACCCTTTGGAGTTGAAAATTTCTCTCCCAAAGCCCCCATCCTAGGTTGCTGATAAGATTCCAAAGAAAGAAAGGAGAAAGAAAATCTTCGATATTCGAAGTTCAGGCCAGCTTCACATGTAACAAGGCCCCCAAACCATGATCTGAATATTAGTGTATGTGATGGTTTTGTTCTCCACCCTTCTCTTCCTCCTCTTGCACTGCTGGATTTAGACGAAGCTTCCTATCTTCTTATTTCTTTTCCCTCTGGTAAACATATTAGAACTTACAGGTTCCCTGCAAATCAGGATAAGTGAACGCAAATCCTGTAAAGAAACAAGGAAGTCTCCTTTGCAACTGGATGCAAGATAAGAGGCAGCAGTACGAGGATAAGCTTTACCACTCATTAATGCTCAAACCAAATGTGTTGACATCTGAATGGTGCCTTAGGATTTTAAAGTATTTGTTAAAATAAGAGCCCCTCTTCAAAAAAATAAAATAAAATATTTTTTTACCTTGATCTTTGCCCCTGGAGTCGACCTGATAGAGAAGGATCATCTGTTGCTGGGGAAGGACTGGTGGAGCCATCCCTTAGAGCTTCAAATCTTCTTGCTGGTGTGTAAAAAAGCAGCAAGACAAAAAGGAGCTCTTAAAATAGCATCAAAGATTACAACAGATGCCGAAGACTACCTTCAGCCATACCTACATTCACATCTGCAAGAACATAGCAATATTATGGGTAAAATGACTGTCGATACATTTTTAATGTTCCTGCCCTTGACAACCCCTGTTTTTAAATGTGTTTTTAGTATTAATTTTATTTATTTTTTTAACATAATACTTCAGCTCTTTTAAAATATTTGTACACTTCCTGTTTTTAGCTTTAGGCACGATAAAAATGATATTTGTATACTTCCTGTTTTTAGCTTTAGGCATGATAAAAATACGCTTTAAACGATCACTGAAAACACAGCTTTTCAGGTAGCCCTTCCTGGAGTTTATAACATCGTAACACAGTAGTTGTTCCAGCGGTTTACATTATCCATTCCGACACACTGCCTTAAATTATCTTAATTCTTCCTAGTTTTTAGTCGTATTGCTTTTTAAAGTTTATTTGAAGCTTAATTTTTGATTTTGATTGTTATTATGTGTATTGTTTTTAGATTATTGTTTATTTGTTTTCGAGTTGTAAACAGCCCAGAGTGGCCCTGGCAGTCAGATGAGCAGTATAAAAGTCAAACAAACAAACAAACAAACAAACAAAGTGTGTTGGGAGGAAGCTGAAATATGGTACACATTAACTGGCCCACAGTCCAGGGTCGAGTGTGGACTTACTCCCTTTCAGTCTAGGCCTTCAGTGTGAGATCCACTTCAATTTGTGTTTACCCTATATTTTCATTTCTTCTTTCCACCTTTTAATTCTGTCTTCCTGTTGATCACTTCCCATACAGCCTAGCCAGGGTGTTTCTCCTTATAACAGATGCAGAAGGACCCTGGGACAACTCTTTTAGATTTATCCTTCCTTACTTATACCTGGTTCCTTTCTTAACCTCAAGTGTGCCTACTATAAACAACAAAGTTGTTTTCCACTGCAGCAGAGGGCAGAATCGAAAGCAGAAGATTCAAAATATAAGACGCAAAATTTGCATTAAACATTAGAAAGCGTTTTTCTGACTAACAGCTATTTAACAGTGAAATGGGCTATTTTGGAAAATGGTGGCTATCCTTCAGTAGAGATTTTTGATTAGGTGTTGGATAGCCATTCCTCAGAGGTACAGGAGCTGTGAGCAACCTACACTAGATGGAACTTCTGGATGACCCTTAGAGATACCTCCAATTCTATGATTCAATGATTGTAGAAATCTCAGCTGTAAGGCCACAAATCAACAAGAGAAGGATTGGCGAAAACAAAATTATGATGGATGGATGGACGGATAGATGGACGGATAGATGGACGGACGGAAGGACGGACGGACGGACGGACGGACGGACGGAAGGAAGGAAGGAAGGAAGGAAGGAAGGAATTC